GAACATGCAGTTAAAGCATCATTACTGTTACTTGTTGGTTCATTACTTTGTTTACAGCTGTTTACAGCAATTGTCAATCTTTATAATAAAATAAACGTTGATATTTATATAAATCTTATTAAACAATCGATAATTAAGTTATATAATTTCTAATTTAATTATAATTACAAATGCGAATTTGTGGCAGTGTAATTAAGAAACTAACGATTCGAGATGCTTTTTCTGAAAAAAGAATTGGACAATTTTCAATGAAATATTTTTAAACATTTCAATTATAATAACAATATTTATATTTAAATAAATTTTTTAAAAACTTAAGTATAAATTTTTATATTATTTATGGAAAATTATCCTGAAATATTGGCCATAATTTTATTAATAATTAAAATTTAGAAAATATTTACACTGTTTATTGAATTTTTTTGTATTATATCTTTAAATTATAATTAATATAATATTTTATTCTATTTATTAATTTATTACTCGATTCATTTTAAAAAGATTTTAACAATTTACTTTGTTATTATCAAAATAAGTGTAAAATTTCTTTGTTTTTATTTATTGTTGCTATTGACGTGAACGAATAGAAATATGTATCATTTTTAAAAATTGAGAGATTTTGGATACACCTGGACTGACAGTTGGTTGGACTCATCTCCCCGACGAGAGCAAACAAAAGAGAAAGCACCATTATTCAAACCTTTATATTCCTTTGTTGGGACGTCATGTTCGTTGAAGTGCTTCTAATGCTTTGATGGCCTATACACAGCTTTCGACTGAACTCTTCTGTTGACTTCGGTCATTGTGTTAATTATCTGCAGTAGATTTATTGTCAAACCGTTTGGATTTTCAGTTTAACCACACACAAAGTCTTGTAATTGCTACCTTGTTGAACGTATAGAAGAGAGAAAGAGAGCAATGTTTTACAGATTTTCTTACCAGAAAATAGATTAAAAACACATTATCTTGTTTAGATAAATATATTAAATTTACAAACAAACAATTTATTTAAGAAAAACATTTATAAAAATATAATAAAAGTTACTTTATTGGCTAGAAACTTAACATTTGAGAGGAGAAACTTTTCAATTTATCTATAATTAAATTTTTAAGCATTTCTACTAAAAATACTTGTTCGATTATAGCTATTACTTTAAATATGGGTCTAGAAGCACGTGTATATATATATATATATATATTTATTCACATTTATTATAGAATTCTTGAGACGAGTAAATATAGTTTGCATCAAATAATTAATCAACTTAGATGTCATTAAAGAGGTTATTGCTTTCAGAATTTCCATCAATGAACTAAATCGTTCCTTCGACCTGTTCGTTCTTGGTCTTATTTTCAGATATCATCGGATTACCAGTCAATTAGTTATTAAAAAATGATCGACTGGTAGTAAACCAGTAGTTACGGACACCCTATATTTCTACATGATGATGAATGATCATCTTGTTGTCCAAAGATGGATAACCGAATTCTTAATACATATTCAATGCAAAGCACAATACATATTAAACGATATTCCGTTATCATTATAACCACCAATTAACGTTTATGTTGGAAGTTAAACGATTTAAACGTGGGGAGGGAAACCAAATTTTTCTTGCTCTAGGGAAGATGATGAAATGCTCAAGATGCTACTTCTTCTTAATGTTGGCACCAGAAGTACATATGTTTTTTGTGCTGTCGTTGTTTAAAATCGACATTAAAAAATCTTTAAAAATCGTATTAATTTGTAGGTTGAAGAAGCTACTGGACATTTTAGTAAATATAAAAAGAAGATCCTTTAGTTGGATAACCGTGACATAGATAGATGTAATTGTAGGTCTGTCTATATAATACTATAAATTTCGATTTATCATTTCGAAAATTTCGATCTTTAAAGATCTTTATCGCATTGATAACCAAATAGTTATTATTAAAATATTAATGTTATGACAGATAAACTGTAAATATATATCCCATCTGGCATTGTATACGTAGAATGTTTCTATATATTAATTAATATTATTAAAGGATTTAAAATAGTTATGTTCGTTAACAGATTATTTATCGTACGTAAAAGTATGGCTCGGCACAGGGGGAAAACATAACCCAAAATAAAAATCTAATATAACATTAATGTAATTAGCTTAGTTTAATAAGTATACGTCACGAAACCAGTAAGCTTATAGTCTGTATCTCTTCTGATAAGCGAATGGCATCAATCATTAACTATGATTGGAATACGTTGCGCATGGAAATGATATTTTTATGGTGTAAATGCAGGTTTTTGTGTATTAGAAAGCCTTTTAGATGCTTTTATTTACATAAACATGAAAATATAAAGAAACTTTATATCCCTAAGGAGCAATTATTAGATAATTTCACTCGATAATAAACTGGCCTGGTCTGTTCAATCTGATTTTACTTATAAAATATCAATTATTTAATTTTGATTTGATTTATTCAATGGTGTTGGTTAATGTTGCTGTTGTTAGATAATGCATCTTTATTGAGTGAATAGAGATTATCATCGTTCTGCACTCAGTTGCAACAGCGAGCAATGTAAATGTATATTCATGACCGGTTCCAGCGCTTCCAGTTTAATTTATTAGCTTCACTGTAAGCATTTTTTTTCGCTTAAAATGCTTATTTAAGCGTTATTTTTGTGCGAGTTTTAATTATGATTTGGATAAAACTTGTTTCTAATTAATATAGACGATTCAAAATTAAATTTTATATTGTTTTCTTTGTGTTCAACTTACTCTTCAAACAGATAGAGATGCTTTAGCTCAGCGTATTGCATCTTTAAACTTAAGCTATTGCTTAGGATCAATAGGAAAATATAAGTATAACTCTGTAAAAATCTATATAAACATTTATATAATTTTTATGGATTAAGTAGTGTCTGATGAGTTCATTTTTTCATAATTATCATTTCATTTTCTGTTAAAAGACAAGAATGTGATATAATATGTAACGTATTCTTATATATATAAGGGTGGCTCAAAAGTCAGTTAACCATTGTAAAGCGTAAATTCTGTCCTATTTACTAACATACTTAATCATATTTTCAACAGTTTTGTAAGAGACAAATTCGTTGTTCTAAACTCCGTTTACCACTCATATTCAAAAGTGTCGGAGCACAAAACAAAACATGATTAACTAACTTCCGGGCCACCCGGCTATAGAATAATAGCATAGGGAAAATCAGGGCAGAACGGAATATTTAGGGTTTTAAGGATTGTAAAGTAGTAAAAGGATACACATAGACGAAAATAACCAATGATAAAATAGTTTAGTTTGCTTCATGTAAATATTATTTGTCAAAATTAGTTATATTGCACATGGAACACCTGCTTAAGAAAAACTTAAAAGATTAAGTAACAGATTAATAGAAAAAATTGACAAATAAGAATAGAATCTTCATCGTCACTGTCCACTCCAGCACATGAATTGCGAGTCCATTTGAGGCACTTTTGGCAAACGATCCTGCCCGGACGCAGAGGTTATGTTTGAATGCTGTTAGTCTACGTTAGAAACTGAAGAATTAAAATATAAGTACACGAATCTCAGTTCAAAATGCAGTAGCAGTGCGTATAACACTTAGCATTAAGTTATTTGACTTGGAGAATAAGAATGAGTAAACTTACAATATGTTGCAGGAAAGAGGGATGAACTCTTTTCAAAACGTGATTGCCAACTTAGTGACCTCGACAGTGCAGATACGCGCTGTTATAAAGTTTGTGAAGTTCTCGCTAGTTTGCACCTCCCACTGACCAAAAAATATAGGGAGTTCCATTCTGCCCCGGGGTTCCTTTCTGTCCTGGTTTCCCCTACATTGTTTTAAGATATAACCTACTCTAAATTAAGTTACATTTTGTGTAAAATAATTAAGTTATATTAATTTGATATCATAGACTGTAATGGTATTAACATATGAAAAAAATTAATCTACACAAAAATCAAGGTTAAATATTATATAAATATTATTATTTTTAAATATAAATTTATAAGTATTATAATAATAGACCTTTTTTAACCTTCCTTAGACATAACATCAAGAAATATATTTAATAAAATAAGCTGGAATCTATATAAATTACATCCGTATAAAGTTTCAGACATTATTAATTAAAAGTTTTATGAAAAAATTATTATACAAATCATCCTTTCAACGTTTAGACTAAGTTAAGATACCTTCTCTTAATGAGCTCATTTAGATTATTTTATTTTATTATTATTTTATTTATTTTTGTTTAATGTTAGGTCAGTAAGAACAATTTTCAATAAGAACAGTTGCAAAAACCATGAGAAACTCTCAACCGAACACGGTAGCTTACCTAAAAACTGGCATCAGCATGATAGTGAAATACCATCATTTACGTAATGGGATGAATATTGGAAAATACTTAGTAGCTCATTTTCACCGATGTTTCTCCCCCTAAAGAAATGGCACTACGTACTTGTACTTCAATACTTTGGTCTACGATCCTCCTTTTGCTATTCTGTCTTCCATAACTCTCTGAGCGTATAGATATTGAACGATTAGGGATACCTGATTTCATAAACGTGTAGACGCCTTAGAACAAATGATAATCATCATACATGTTTATGCATTTAAGATCGGTTCCCACCCCTTGATAAGAATGCATAGACGATATACGATAGTGTCTTTTATGTCCTAAAGTAAAAAAAGACATGAAGTAAACTAATGGATAGTTTTCTTTGCCTCAATTTATATCGAACGTTTAATGCTTAATAATACCCATCTAACGTTAATTTTGTCATTAAGCTTATTATCATTATTTTGAAAAAGATTTATTCTTCTTTTATTAAGACACAATCATTAAGGGTTAAGCGGTTATACATTTTAAAAAATAATTACTGTTTAATCGTCAAATATGTAAACTTTATAAATCTTATTGTTATTCTTACGAATTATATAAGAAAATGAAAGCAATTATTACTTTTTTCTCCTTTTTTATTGTTTTTTTCCTTTGTAGCAGTCTTACATCGCGACCACGATAGACCAGATCATGGGCATAAGTCGAGAGATCTGTTATATCCCGATATGTTAATGGAAGGTGATTTGATTTTGCAGGTAAGTGTAATTATTTCAAAATTGTAATTAAGATAAAGAGGTTTGTTTAAATTGTATTTACAGTAAACCTGTGTAAGCTGGAACCGAATGGTATGGCCTGTTTCCGTTTTGAACGGGTTTCTTTTAACACAGAAAATCTCTCCGTTTCGAAGGATTTTTTCCGCTTTATTCAGATCCCGTTTTAGACAGGTTTACTGCATCTTATTTCCTGCACGTAGAGGTTTTTGGCAATGCTTAAATGCAAGCGAGATGGCTACGTGTACAGAAGAATGTACTGAACAGTATAGTACAATTCCCTTTGTAAAAGCCTTTGTGCAGGCGAAACAAGCTTTTAACATTGATTTATTGCATATTAAAGGACTAATTTGCTTTTGTAACTTATTTAGAAAATCTATTCACGTGTTGAATTAACACAATCAACCGTTCGTCTATAGAAAAATCAAATCGATTTGGGTTAATTGGCATAAATTTTTACCATTGCTGTAAGTCATCCGGTCTTTATCTTCTTATGGTCAATCAGTATATTTGGGTGTGTTACTAGAATTGCTCTTCACTACTTCCCCAGGGAAAATTGCAAATACTTGAGCTTATTTTTAATTATGTTCTAAGGATCTACAAGGCTATATCTAGCAGCTCCACCCGATTCATATTAAGCAATTGGCATCGTAATGATAGTGTCGTAGACTTACGTTCTGATAACTCGAACACTTATGTCGAAATTAATATTTTTCTACTTTTCCCCCTTAAATATAGGTAATTTAATGTCCATCGAGAAAGTTTTTAAACGAGAAATGTCTATATTTATATGTATTTTTGCATTTTTAATTATTAAAGAACACAAAATAGTAAATTCGAATTCACTTTTCTTTCGATTACCCTGTGAAAATCGTGAATTATTTGTCTAATAAATTATAAATATAGGCCTGTAAAGTTTATATTGTATATATATAAAACTACCACTTAATTGTGTATGGTAGGTGTTAATTAATTTAAACGTTAAGCAATGAACACAGCTGCATAGCTACTTTCATGTTTTGTCCATTGCTTCGTCCATAGATGAAGTTAATTTCATTCCAAATATATAAAATGTTAAATAAAATAAATATTTATTTATTTAATAAACTAACAATGTTTTTAAATTAAAATTTTTTTCTTAGTTTTCATGCATTTAGATTTACATAGATTAGTAGATAAGGTATCGCCTGTGCTTCCATACTTGACCATTTTTCACTGCTACTGATATTAACTTTAAATATTTGTTTATCTTATAATTATGTTAAAGCAATTATAAAATAAATGCTAATTACAATTAGTTTTTAATCAGTAATTACGAACAGTGTTAAAACAAAATTTACAAATTATTAAATACTAGCTGTTACCCGCGACTTCGTCAGCGGAGGTTTTGCAAGCAAACCCCATTTACATCCAATATTTCAATAACCATAGTAATTGTTATATAACACCTACCGCTGAAGAGAATTGCCGAAAATCAAACGAACTATTTTCAATTTGATCAATTTTCTGAAACGTTTACAATCGTTCTATAATCGAACCAATACGCAATAACAAATTCGAATTTAAAAC